TCACTTTACATTAAGGTTCACTTTTAGATGTTATTAACGTTTGTAACTCATTAATAACTGGTTCACAGATGTTCACGTTACATTAAGGTGCACTTTCACAGGTTATTATTTTTTATAAATCATTAATTTATGATTCATTACATTAAGGTTCACAGGTAATATTGGAATTAAAATTTTCAATATTAATATCTCATCAAGTCATGGGTGTGCTTTTATTATTTTTTCCCCAAAATAAAAATCAAGATGATAATTTCATCTTGATAAACAAAATATATCAGTTTCTAATCATTGCTGTGGATAGTCATCATGAACCTTTGCGGAGAGGTACAGAGTAGATTCTGGTAAGAAACATTGTAAGAAAAGTGACAAGAGTCATGAGATATAAATGAGAAAACCATAAATACAACACCCTTTAGTCTTGCTAAAATAGTAACATTTTTCTGCATCATGAATAAAATCAGGAATCTGGTTTTGAGTAAAATAAGTATTAATAAATACATTTGTTAAGCATTTATAACATGTGAGTTAAAAATGGCTCACTATTTGGCAGGTATTGCATCAAAATCACCCTTTTATTCATGCATTTATAACTGCTTATCAATGATTTATAATGCATTTGTAAGTGAGTTATTAGTCATTTATTAACACCTTTATAAACCCTTTATAAAGGGAACCTTAATGTAAAGGGTTACCGTAATATCCTATAAGAAAAAAAATGGAAAATGTGCTATTAATGTAGATCTTCCACAAGTATTTTATTGAATAATTCCACACATTTGATTTATTACTATTATCATTATAATTATTTTTATTAATGTTTCTTTTTCTGCTTTTATTGAGAGGACAGTGGAGAGGTGAGTAGAAGGTGCACTATACCTGGCAGACAATGTCTAAGACTGTTGCACACATTGACAACATTTGGCGCTCCAGATAGAAGGGTTATAAAGGCCAGAAGGACATTTACGGGAGTAAATGGGGCAGTTCGGATTGTGCCGCGATTGAGGAGAAGATTGATTATTTTAGCAGAGGATGCTGCTGAGATTTCCTCCAATTAGTAAATTTTGGTTCTTCTAATGGTGAGTGATCACAGTCTAGGTGGAGGTTTACTGCTTTTTTTTTTTTAAACTAAGGCACAATCTTGTGTTGTGACCCTGCATTCATCAAAAAGGAAACTGGAAGTCTCCAAACACTGGTTGCTAGGCATCAGGACAGAATCTTCCAGAGGGCCATTGCAGCTGTCACACCATTTCATAAAACATTTTTGTGTTTCTGTTATTCCAGTTTGCCCTGGTGACATTTAGAGAAGAAAGAATTATTTTTGGAAAGTTGACAAACCTTTTTTAACAATCAAATTCTGTTATCCTGTTGTATCCTGTATTTACAATTTGACTCTGTGTTGTAAACAGGGTCGGATTTACCTCTTTTCGTGACATAGGCAAAACCAATTGTTGGGCCCCCCTTCCCTATTAATATAATAGGCCTAATATTACCACCACCCAAGCAAAAAAAAAATAATTTCTTAATCAGTGAAACCGTTACAGTGTTTTCTATCACAGTAAGCGCTTGCGTTCAGTCAATAAAAATCGAATAGGCTAGTTCTTAATTTGTTTGAGAACTGAGAAAGACCATTCCATTAGCTAATAGGCGCGGCATCGTGGCCACATAACCACTTCGGGAGTGCATTATTTCTCTAATAATTTTAACGACCTGGAGTCACAATCACACATCAATTGTTCAGATGATTTGTTTCAAGACATCTGACATGTTTCCGTCCTGAAATATCGTGTGCGTTGAACTAGCTATTTTTTTACGCACCTCATCTCAAACGTTCCATTGCAAATTCCAAAACGTCATGTTAGAGCTAATAACAGAGGCTTGGGCCATTGATATGCAGGCTAATGCAGTTATTAATGCAGTCTAATGCAGTTATTAGAGAGAGAGAGAGAGAGAGAGAGAGATTAAGTGCGTGTGAATACCTGCATCTGTGCTTTTCTCAGCGGTGTTCAGCAGCAGTGTCTACTAATAGCGAATCTTTAAGTTGAACTGCTTCAAGAACCGCGCTACTGAGAAATGTTATGTAGCTTTTCAGCTGCGAAAATATTTTATTGATAAATTCGCGGGGCAGCGCTGACAAAAAGTTTCTGTCCGCGTCTCCGCGTGTGTGCGCGAGTGCGTGTGTGTGCATCTGTGGGAGAGAACAGGAGAAGGAAAGCGTTTTTCTGTACATAAAAAAGGTGGAAGACATGGAAATAGTTTGTCATTTTT